TAGTCAAATGAACCACCAGAAACAATAAGTGTTGCTTCATTTGCACAAAAATTTAGACCGCGACATGTACAATATGTACCATCTCCACCATATGCTATGAAATTAATGTCACCACGTTTAAACAGTGATCCTTTAATATCAAATGCTTCTGTATCATTGCCAAAGAAATCTCATATTGGTGGAACAATGAATGGTTATCCTTTAAAATTATTGGAATTTATGGTTAAAGTTAATAAAATATTAGCTGCTAAAAAAGTTAAAATAAAGAAGTTAAAAGAAATGAATAGTGAAGCAGAAAAAAGACGATCTTTTGGAGAACCGCTTCCACCAGATTTTGAAAGAAGATATGCAGGGTAAACAGTTATATTTATATTATATTTATATATATATATTTGTTCTTTTATATTTATTGTTTTTTTTTTCTTATTGATATTTCTAATTTTAGTATTGTGGTTGAATTGGAAAAAATGAATACTGCTTTGCAAGATTTTCTTAATGATATTCAAGAACTTTGTCAAGAAATGGCTCCTGAACCTAGTGTGGCAGCTATGTTAGCTCCTTCTCATCTTCGTGAAAAATGTAGACAGGAAGCTGCAGATATGGTTGCAAGAAATAACATTATTAATGATAAGGAACCTGGAAAAATGTCTCAATTAGTAACAGACTTAACAGCTCTTATGCTTCAAGTAAAGGTAATGCTTTGAATTGCTTTGTTCAATATAAATTATTTTCTTAATTTTTTGATATAATTTTGATATAACTTTTTTTATGTTTTTTTAGAGTTTATCTGATTCGGATCGTAACGCATATGAGTTGAAAGTATTACAAGGCACGATGGAACAAATACGCGCAAAATTAAGTCCACAAAATCAACAGGTTTTTCAAAATTGTGTTGAAATACATATGCAACATATACAATTAGGTTTGGGACAAAGAGGTGCACTGACGCCATTTATGGCTCAAAGAGCTTAGCAAATATGAAAGTAATTTTTATTGATACTATAGAAAAAACTGTAAAATATTAATATAAATATGAACTATCATACTACAATATTTTATAAGAAAAATTCAACTTTATTTTATTATCTTTTTGTATAGGACATATCATCATTAAGGAGTACCTATCATACTAGAATACATATGTGTGTTCTGTATATACAATAATTCTATAATTGTTTTTTAAGTAACATTCTATAAATGAGTTTTAGAATAATGTGCTGTGCCGTTAATTGCATTAAACATTTAAAAATGTTCATGTTTAAAAAATTTACATGTCAACTTTACGATTTCTATAATAAGAAATTGAAGATAAATAATAATGGCTATTGTAAATAAAGCGTACATTTTGCAGTGGCAGCTTTCATTAAATTTATACAGAAATTTGACATATTATCGCAGTAGGAATGGATAACTTGTAAAAAAAGAATTTAATATTTACTGCTTATGAATAATTTCAAAAATTAATATATAATTAATACATTAGTATTTTGAAAAATAATTTGAATAACTGTAAATTAGGTATATGCACAAAAATTGCATAACCAATTGTAAATACACTATAAATGATAAAAAATATGAAATTTTTACATTTATTTTATTCACATTAGCTAAAAATTTTTTATTTATATCAGATGTTTTAGTTTGAGAAATTGTATAAAGTTCAATACAATATGCTAATTTATTTAAAATATGAATCTTTTTAATGATCCTATTTCTAAAATAGTTATTGATATATTGAACAAAGAATAACACTTATGAAAATCTATGATTTCACTTATTATGTTGTCATTATAAATATATTTATATGAATGTTATATCTATTTTTCATGCATATTATATTTTTAATAAAATAGATGTAAATAATCTTAATTCATACATACATGTGCAATATTGATGTTAATAATTCTAATATAAACATTCCTTAAAATAATAAATATATTTTTATATTCATAAAATAAGTAATATTAAAAATAGGCTATGATTTGAAAATTTATAATTCTTTTATATTTTTTTTCATAATTTTCAATAAAAAATGTTTATTTCGATACTAAGTGATAAAGTAAGAATTCTGGTCATAATAATAAAATATCATAGGAACTATTAAAATTTTTTATAATCAAAAATAAATTAAGGAATGTAAGCTATAATGATCTTAATATTTATTCTATTTACATAAATTTTTCATATATAAGTAATTTTTATTGGAAAACATGTATTAGACAAGTATATAACATTTTAAACACATAATTCTGTAAACAAAAAATTATACTTGCAGTACATGTATCAAATAACGTCTATGAATTTTAAATATTCTAAATCTGATTTACATTTATTTGTTTTAATTACAATGTCCTTATATTTATATATATTACCCATACCGTACGTGATACCATAACGTACCCTTCGTGCAATAAAAAATAAAAAATATATATATAATATATTCTAATTCTATTTTACATGACATGTTATACCAATTCAAGTAAAAATATTACAATGAATACATATAACAACAAAATTGTATTTTTGTTTTCAAAAAATTATTACTATTCAACACAATTTTGTTTCTTCTTTTTTCAATGGCATTTATAATTACTTATTTATAATTTCTATTTTTTTTTTCATTTTTTATGTTTATTAAGTGCTTCTAATAATTTATCTGCATCTTCATCTGTTTTTACTCTTAATAAAACTGGTACTGGAGGTGGTGTAGAATCAGGTAAAGGTAAACAAACCAACATTATTGTATTTTTATTCATACGTTTTGTTGGTATACTTTCTGTTAATAAAGTATTGAGCAATAAATTCCCCAAAGAAGTTTCTGCACGTACTAATAATTGTGTTTTTTCATTTGGAGTTGGTTTTAAAAACAACATTCCAACACCTCTATCAGTAAAATTACCATCTTTTTTAACAAAAACTTTACATCTGCAAAAAAAATATAAAAATATAAATTTAAATTTTAATTTTAAAATAATTTTTTTTTATAAAAGAAAATATTTAATATGATACCTTTGTTCATATATAGCACCTTCTTCTATAACTGGTTTGAATTCTACTTTTGGTGGTTCCTCATCTTCATCATCCTTTCCTTCACTATCTTCAGGTTCTTGTGGCTTTACCACTTGAGCTCCAAATGTAAATGGTTTTGTACTATAAAGTCATGATGTTATTAAAATATTTTCATTACATTGAACATTTGAAATAAATTACCTTCCAAAACTAAAACCAGTTGATGTATTATTAGTAGCAGAACTTTGACCAAAGCAGAAAGTTGTTGTATTTGTTGTAGCAAACGAACTAGCAATAGTAGTAGTGGTAGTAGCAGTACTAGTAGTTACAGTAGTAGATTTTGAATCCAATTTTGTTTCTTGCTCATCTGATTTATCAGATGCAATAGATGGTTTACTCAAAAATGGATTCTTTTCAGAATTTGAACTTCCAAATATATTTTTGCTACCAGATTTTTGATCAATATTACCAAAAACAGATTTTTGTATATCTGAACTTTGATCTGTATTACTAAAAATAGATTTACCCGTATCTGTAGTATGTTCTGATTTTCTAAATATAGATTTAGAGCTTGCACTAATATTGCCAAAAATTGATTTTTCAGGTTTCCATTCTGTTGAACTAAAAGGAGATTTTGAATTTGTTACTCCAAATGGAGAACTTTCAAGTTTTTTTTCTGTGTTTGTAGATTCCTTATTATCACTACTGTGTATAGATTGTGCTTGCGAAGATTTCTCAATTTCATTTCCATGTTTACTTTCTATTTCTTTAAGATACTTTTCATAATCCTTAAAAATTGGAGTCAAAATACAAAATGGATTTGCATCAACGTGAGTTTTAATCCATTGTGCCACACTTTCATTTAATCCTTTTAATTTAGCAAAATAATCAGAAGATTTTTTTAATGTATTTTGATCTTCTTGATCAGAAGTACTATTTTTACTACTACATGTAGGTGATGATACTTGTATTTCTGTATTCTCTTTTTTGTTTGTTCCATTTTCATTAGTTTTTGGAGTTTCATTATTTGTAGAAGGCTTGTTTATATTTGTAATTGTCTTAGATGATGTATCATTAGTATTTATAGTATTATTATTAGCTAAAAAGCTAAATGGTGAAGCATTTGTTGAAGTTGTTGTTTTAAAACCTGTAAATGTACCAAATGCACTTCTGGTAGTGTCCTGAAAAATATTTTAAATAAAGTTACATATATATTGCAAGATAAGCATATAGGGATGAAGATATTTGAAGATATTTACTTCTGTATTTTGTAAACGTCTTTTAGCTTTTTTAACAATACGTTTTTCCATTACATCATCAGGAGCTTTTTTAAATGTACCTGCTTCTTCAGGTTTTTCTTCATCATCCCAGTTATCATGGTTTAAATCTGTAGTTGCAGGCCTTTTACCAGCCATTTCTGTAAACATATTCTACAAATATACTCATTACTGTTTTTTCCTATATTTCTTCTTTTTTTTATGAAAACCAAAATAAAAAATTAAATATGAACTGTCTTGATTAATAAAATATTTAAATTAATATATATTTTTTAAATATTAAGATTATTCTTATATAAAGTTTATATTTCATAAAGTTTATATATTTTATATAGCCAGATATAATAATAGATTTAATAGCAATTGAAATAAGAAATGTAAAAGTTTATTAATAATATTATATTATATTAAATAATTATAATTTAATTTTAATTTTAAAAAAAATGAAATGTTTATTTTTAATATATCGAAAACTTGCAATATAACCTCATAAATTGCTAAAGTAGAAAATATCGATTTTTTAATTAAATTGAAAAATAAATAAAATTATATATTATAATATTTACCAAAATAAATTCAATTATATTAAAAACTTAATTAAAACAAATTTAATATACTTATATTAAAGTACGTACTTAATATACATAAGAATTTACACTTGAACGCTAAACACAATTTTCAGTTCTGCGCATGCGTTTTTTTTCAACCATGATCGTACTATATATCCAACGAACAAACTAAATCTTAAAAGGTTAAACGACAAAATTATAATATTTTAAGTTCTATTTTACGTAACGTGTATATGATATAAACCTATTTCAAACTCTAAATACTACAGTAAGGTAATGGAATTATTTTCGATATAATTCTGAACAAAATCATCATTATAAATTTATAAATATTTCTATAATTTAAACATAATAATTTTGTATAATTATTTAGCTTAAACTTATTAATTTTCTGTATTTATGAAAATAGATATAAAAGTATAATTAATTAATATAGATCACACAGAACAATTGAATAATTTATATATTTTTGCAATTTGTCTTGATGTTTATTAAGTTTGTGTATAATTTCAAATTATATATAATTATGAATTAGTAAAAAAAGTTTGAAATTATATTTTCTAATGTTAGAAAGTTGCCATTATGTTATATTTTTTAATGTCTTTAATATTTTTTGCGTCTTGATCTTTTTTCATAAGATATAAAAATTCTCAAAGAAAGTTCTGGATTCTAGATAAAACAATATAATAATTTAAATCATTTAAACGATGATATTTAAGTATAAAGATAATTTTTTATATTATAATTGAACTTTCATAAATCAAGAAAGAAATATATTATATTAAATATATATATGTATTAAACTAGCCTATAAAATAAATATATGATGAAAGATCACGTGGTATATTGTCACGTGCAAACGATCAATTTAAATTTGATATTTTTCTATATATTCTTTATTTAATTTACATAATAAAATTTTTAATATCTTGATAATATTTTTATATAAAAAAAATTAATAATTTAATAAGTTTCTATTATACTTTGCAAATGAAATAAATATTACATAATATTTTTCTGGAATATAGTAATTTTTTTCATTATAATATTAAATATATATTGAATATTATTATTACATTTATATTTATTTAAATTATTCT